TGTCCAGGGCATCCGTACCTGCAGCACTGCTGTAGGGGCACCAGGATGGAGAGCTCATCATGGGAGTGCTTCCCAAACCTGCAGGCACATGCCGAGCACACATGAGGGGGACACTAAGGACATGTGAAGGGCACACAGAGAATTCGCAGGCTGGGACAGGGCTGGTGATGGTTGGGGTATCTGTCCCCAGCTGGGCAGCCAGTGCACTCAGGAGGCCAGGGCCACTCACCCTCTGCCGTTGTCCAGATGGATGATGAACGTCTCGTTCCCAAACTTCTCGAAGGTCTCGTAGTGGTGGCGGTCCATGTTCCCTGGGACACAGGACACCGGGGAGTTGAGGCACTCCCACACCCTGGCCATATGGCCTGGGGGTTCTGTCCCAGCCACAGCAGGCACCTCCCCTCCATCTGAGCCCGAGTGTGCTCTATCCCCACCTGTGGCCTGGGAACGCAGGGACCCCTACTAGCCAGGCTTGGCCAGGACGTACCCATGAGGAAATCAAAGATGGTCATGTCCATGAGGTCCAGGATGCGGTGGGGATTGTCATAGGGTGGTGTCTGCTTCACCTCCTCGCAGTAGTCGGGGTCCACCTCCCACCTGTGGGGCCAGTGTGAGCAGGGGCTGCTACCACCTGCTCCATGGGTGGCGGGGGCCCAGGCCAAACTGTGGGCTACCCTGCTGGCCACCAAGGTCTCAGCAACAAGTCTGTCAGCAGCTGAGAGGGGCCACGTGGACAGGAGCCTCACACCCCAGCCCACTCCACCCAGGCAGGCCAGCAGCTTTGGACACAGCTCACACTCGAGCCTGGGACCTCAGCCCAGCCCCGCTGACCCAAGGCCCAAACATGTTCACACCCTGAAAGGTGGGTGTCCCACTCAGGGGAGCAGGAGTCCAAAGTCCAGAGGAGGAAGCCCCAGCTGGGGGGCTAGTTAGGGAAGGACGTCTCCTGCACCCTCCCCGCCTGTCCCCCACCCCACAGCTCACTCGGCCGGCCGAGCCCACTCACTCGGCCTTCCTGCGCTTGTGGTAGGAGCGCCGCCAGGGGCTCCTCCAAGTCTTCCTCTTGGCCAGCGACAGGTCGGGCAGGAAGGCGGCCAGTGAGCCTTCGATCTGGTCCGGCTTCCCGCACAGCGCGTGCTCCGTGGAACAGTAATAGGAGCACTCGCCATAAAAGCAGACGTTGTTGGCTGCACAAGGGATGGCTGGTTACAGGGGCGGCACCGTGGGCCTGCCTGAAGCCCCTCCCACGGCATGGGCAGGGCCCCCAAGAGCCCTGTTTAGACCTTGGCCGGGGCCTTCGAACAGGAAACGGACCGCAGAGGGTGGCCAGTGGGCCAGGACCACACGACCACAAAGAGACAGACCAGACTAGGACGCAGCATCTGCCTTCCCACATCCTGCCTGCAAAAGCCTCAAGCCCACCGCTGTCACGTGGATTCTGACACACAGTGACCCTGGGGAGCCCGCAGGCTCTCCAGGCTGACTGTCACCTGCCCGGAAGTTAAGTCCACACATTCTCCCACTGGGTGGAGCCAGCTTTCTTGTGATTAGTAGCCGAGTGCCTGACCACTGTGCCAGCAGGCTCTCACCCTCAGTTACCTCAAAGGGACCCGGCTGACAGAAATTCTAAGGCTGGTGTTGAGGAACTTTTAAAAACAATGCATTCCCAGCAGCCTTTGCCCAAAAAGCAGAGCTGGGAAGGCAGGAGTGACAAGGGGAAAACCAGAAACACAGAGGAGATGGGAAGAATGGTGGTGCATTGTGGGTATGGCCAAGGGCACAATGGAGCCGGCAGTGTTTGAATTATGGATTCTGAGCGGCTCTGAGCGGTCTTTCATTGTCTGCACCCCCCAGGGGGCTCTCGTAAGAGCCTGGGAGGCAGAAGGGTCATCATGCACAACCCTGCACGAGGCCCCCCCAAAGGGCTCCTCCTGTCTGCATGGGCCCCTCAGCCTGCAGACCCAGGTCCTGCCACTGTCTCTGGAGGGGGTGGGGGTGGGTCTTGAGGCATTTTTTAGGGCCGGATGCTGGGATGGTGGGCTTGTAACATTACACATTTGTCAGCATCTGTAAAATAAGATTAAATGAGGTTGACCCCGAATGTAAACAGTGGGCCAATGCCACTTAGTAAGATGATGTCAATACCAGTCAGCTGGCTATAGTGGGGAGTAGGGGGTGGGGGTAGGGGTGCAGGGGTGCAAGTGTGTGTGTGTGTGTGTGTGTGTGTGTGTGTGTGTGTGTGTCGGGGGCAGGGCGGGCACATAGGATTTTCAGTGAATCCAGAACTGCTTTAAAACCCATCTATGTGGTGTGAGTGGCAAAACAGGGAGGGTAAAGGGAGAATGGGTAGGAAAGAGGGAACTGATTACATGGAACTGTGTGTGACCTCCTCCCTGCGGGACAGACAACCGAAAAGTGGATGAAGGGAGACGTCGGACAGGGCAAGATATGACAAAATACCCATTTATAAACTATCAAGGGCTCATGAGGGAGGGGGGAGCGGGGAGGGAGGGGAAAAATGAGGACCTAATGTCGGGGGTTTAAGTGGAGTGAAAATGTTTTGAGAAACGATGTACAAATGCGCTTTATACAATTGATGTGTGTATGGATTGGGATAACAGCTGTATGAGCCCCTAATAAAATGTTAAAAAAAAAAAAAAAAAACCATCTGTGCAGGCCGACCCCAGAGATGTGGGACTTCCCCTGCAGGCCACCCCGGGAGAGCAGATATGGCAGCGCATCGAGTCATGTAGGAAAACGGGGCTCAGACTCGACTGTGAAGCTGATGCAGGGCCGGGCATGCCTCCTTCTGTGGGTCACGGGGTTGCCATGAGCCGACGCTACTCGTGGTCTGTGACAGAAAAGTCCGTGAGCAACGTGGCCCAGACAAAGGGAGCACAAGCCGGTCGGCTGCGGCCGGATTGGACTTAGTGGCAGCAGGCCTTGGCTGTAAGACGTGCGTGTCTGAGTGTTGCGCTGAAGCGAAGTGCGGTGACGTGGGGTCTGCCAGCGTGAGCTGCTCATCACCAGGGGGTGTTCATGCACACGCACACGCACACACATACAGGCACACAATCATTACCAGATGCTATGGTGTGGGCCCTGGCTCGCCGCACCCATGCACAGCAGAAGGAATCAAGCAAGAGCGAGCTCAACTGAAAAGAGTAAAACACGTGGGAGAAGCATTTCTGTGTGCGGCAGAATAGTCAGATGATCCCCTACTGTGGGTGCCCAGGCCTGGCATGGCCCCAGCCACCTGGACCAGGTCATTCTGATCCACCGCATCTGCCGTGGCTGGGGCTGCCCACACACCTGCCAAGAATGGCAAGCAAGTGACAGAGTCCTGGAGAGGGGCAGGCAGCTTCCCAGGGGGCCAATGAGGGAATGAAGGATGGGCCAGTGGACATCTATGCTGTTTCTGGATACCGGTGCTGAAGTGGCAGGGGTTTGAACTTGTGTGTGCATTGAGGGTTTTCATACGAAAGCATAGATGTTTTTAAAACATGTTTCAGCCACTCACAGGGACAGCTGGATCTACCTCTGTGCCACGGAGTGCAAGCCGACTCGCAGTGACCCCACAGGCGGGGAGGATGGCCCCTGTGGGGTTCTGAGATGGAGACTCTTGAGAGGAGTGGGCAGCCTCTTCTCTCTCGGGAAGAGGGGCTACTTGTGGTGAATCACTGACCTTGTGGAGAGGAGTGGTGTCTGGAGAAGGCAGTGCTTGGTGAAGCAGAGGGCAGGGAGACAGGAAGGCCCTTGCCGAGAGGGACAGACACGGTGGCTGCGGCAATGGGCTCAGACAGGGTGACACCGGTGAGGGTAACAGGCTGGGCAGGGCTTCCTTCGGCTGTGCAAGGGTGCTGCGAGCCAGGGCCCACACCATAGCATCTGGTAATGATTGTGCGCCTGTATGTGTGCGTGTGTGCATGTGTGGTATGCGTGTGTGCATGTGGTGTGTGCATGTGTATGTGTGTATGGTCTATGTGTGTCTGTGCACGTGCCTGTGTGCAGTGTGCATGCATATATGTGTG